TAAATGCTATTTTTTATTAAACGTATGTTACAATAAGTGATATTAAAAAAACACCAATTTATCGAAACAGATTTAATAGCCTGCGATAGAGAGTACTTAACTATACGAAACACACGTTATTATAAGTCACGCGATTCAAATTCAGTCTAAAAAAAAAAGAAAAAACCCATTGTGACTCCAGTTCACATAATAATCATAACATAAAGGTAAGTATTGCAAAATGTTCCGTAACTATTATTTTGTGAGTATTCAACAACATAAGAATGTTTAATGGGCCACTATGAACTTATAGTAGCGTGCAGTACAATACTTATGAAAGAAAAAAAGAAAATAAATATAAGAACAATATTTGTTTTTAATTGTGCATAAAACATTATTGATAAAAAATTATTCCTAGTGTTTTTTTAGACTGCGTGTGAATTTATGACATCGTATACAAGAAAAACAAATTTTAAAAGCGTAATACCTATATGCGTGTTCTATAAAACTTTTTAGCAAACATAAAAAACTTAAAAAAAATATTTCTCATAAGACCAAAAGTATAACCTATAATTATTATAATAGTATATACACCTACCACCCACCTATCTATTTTATATTTTTATTCTTTGTTTTAACTTTTTTTTTTTTAATTTTTCGTACACCGATATTATATTAAAACCGTACCTAATTGATAAAACAAAAAAATACAAGTCATTTTTACAATTTATTAAACCAATGAAAAATTTAAAAAAAATATTAATATAAAATAAAAATAAACATAAAAATATAATATCTTAATAAAAACTATTAAGATATTATAATTAATACAATTCTCTCTACTCAATAGAGTTTGAAAATGAATACTATAAATATCTTTAATTATTTACTCAATAAAAATTAAACCATTTCACCTTATTCAATACACTTATGAATGAATTCTTAAATTAAAAGACAATGCGGCTCTAATTATCAAAAAAATAAATAAAATAAATATGTTATATCTAAAACTATTTTAAAAATAGTTAATAAATATGTTTTTGAACTTCAAGATAGATAATTTGGAGATGTGTCGTAAAGGGTCTTATTGAATGGGTCACGCTTGTGAATGAATCGATCCAGATCGTGAATCAAATATAGGTAGAAAGTGGTTTATTCGTTCAATTTCATTCTCATTCAGGCTGCATTGTTTAATATGTTTTAAACGAATCGGTTCATTTAGTTCATCGGATGAATATTATATTATAAAAGATCTAAGCAACCACGGTTATAGTTTATCCGTAACCGAGATTGCATGTTCAACAGCAAATTTAATTTTATTAAATTCGTAATGATTAGAATAAAAATACCACGATTCCTAAGATCGCCATGTATACACCACGATTAAAGATAAAGATAGTTTTAATCGTGGTATACATTACACATGCACAATAACTTTCATAAACGATAATCAATAATCAAATATTATTGTAACTAGTAGGTACCTTGGTGTTTACTTTATTATTATATTATAAATACATGAACACTCGTGGGTCGTAATTTATGACTTCATTACGAAATACATTCCATATCGAAAAAAAAATCAATACAAGTAATAATTCAATTATACATATTTTTACGGAATGAACGAGAATATTGTAAATAATATTAATATGACAACTGATAAGATATTTTAAGTCAGTAGGTAGTAATATCATTCATCGTTCACGTGAAAGAAATAAATGGACGTCCGTTCATTCGGTTAAATTCGTTCATCGTTCGCGTGAACGATATGAACGAACCGTATGAACGGGTCTTCTGAATGACCCGACCCGATCCACACGAATCGAGTCATTCAAATAATCCGTTTTACACATTTCTAATAGGTATGTCCTCAGAGATCAATTTTATAACAAATTGCACAAATCTTACATGTCTATTGACCCTTGTTAATATCCAAATATGTAAACGTTTTTGTAAGAAAGTTATAATAAAATATAAGAAACTTAAATATACTGTACAGGTACCTAACTACCTACGTTTTACATTTCATTAAATAAATCGAGATCGCGATATTATTATATTCGTTAAAATAATTGTTTTGTAATTTGTAGTAAAATCTTTGTAAGTTTAAAGAATGGATAATTTGGAACTAAAAAACTTGCCATTCAATTATTATGAAATTACAAGTATAATAATTATATAATTATTATTATTTATAAATCAAGGCACGTTACTAAATTTTTCTATGATACCTACGGAAATTTTAATAATTTTTTGCAAATATTATGTTATTAGAATTTACGACAATTTGTAATAATATACATACAAATAACATACTTACAATTTTCCATGAACGTTTTAATAAAAAAAATATAGGTACCTGAATGTAGCTTAACATTTTTATAAAAAAAAAAAAAAACGCACAGATACTATTAGTCAGTGTGTGCTGTACAATACAAGAAGGTAGCGAGATTGCCCACTCGAAACGCCCTATTACCAATGTGAACACGAAATTTATTTGAATAGTAAGTTAGCAACAAATTCCCTTGCCCATTTTAAACTACGCCCCATTCATCGACGATATGATATGTTGGTTTTTTTTTTTTTATTACCGCGCGTATCTATATAATAAATAAACTTATTACTCGAATGATACGGGGCAATACTAATAAGTAATATGGTATTAAATTTGTCACCATTTAAAATATACAATATTATAATTCCAAGTTCTTCGAACGTAAATACTATTGTTATTAAATTTTAGTATAAATACTCATATTATATTTCTACGGTTTACCAAAAAAAAAAAAAATCCTAAGATGTATTGGTTAAACACTTAAACGTGTTACACTTATTATATACCTGTCTGATAATACATACACGGGTGTAGTAGTACTTCAATTAATAATTTAAGAACTGAAACCGTTATGTTCAATAATAAATATGTTAATATACAGTGTGTATACGTACTATAAAAGTATAGGGATTCCGAAATATTGTAATGAATTTTTGTGATCGTGTTGGTTTAACAAAAAATAAGACGCCGTGTACACCTTCCGCGTATTCGAATAATTGGATAATATTGTAATGATTGCCAATGGCAAAAAGCTTACCCAGAAACCTGTTGGACTGACGAGAGCTAGTGACGGAAAGCCGTCGACGTACCTACCTTATCACACGAACGAAAAGAGGGTCTTCCGTAGTTGTCTTGCCGGCTTGCGTTTGCGATGACCACGTGAATACGGAGATCAGCAGTCGTATACGTACCGAACAGCCGTGAACAGCATAATAATATTTATATTATACGTCTATAGACGAATGTGTGCATATATGATATATATATAGTGTAATGTGTACATATACATCGGTACTGCGGTGAAGCTCGAAATCGACGAGGGAACGTGACGGCGTTAAAAGAAAACGAAAAAGGAGAAGAAAATAACTTTTAAAAAACAAAAAATATCATTCGACAATAATATGAAAACTAAAAAAAAAAAATTAAAAAAAAAAAAAAAAAATTAAAAAAAAAAAAACAACAAAATCTATATAGGAAACGAGCGGGGTGAAACGTGAAAACCCGGCGTGGCAAATCGCGAGCACAAGCGGCGGCGGGCGACTACCGGACGACGACACGGACCGACACACACTCGTACACATACACACACAACCGCGGACACGCACGCGGGAGCACACACATACACACACCAGACTGTGTATCACGGTGCCCGGTCGGAGTGAGGATACGCCCGCCGCCGCCGGCGCACATACACGACGTCGTCCCTTCGATCAATAGGCCCGACCGGAGCGCCGCCCGTGCCGGGCTCTTGTTTCCGAGTTTCCAACCTCTTTGCACTGCTGCGCCGCACCACCGTGATTGCGCCCGACCACCATCCGCTCTGCGATAATGTATTTCATACATAACTAGGACGTAGCTACAGTGTTACTGCCCTCTCCGCGGTCGCAGTCGCATCACGCTCCGTCCGCCGACCGCCGACCCGCCTTTAGAAGGTGGCGTGTAGGCAATTTTGACGAGACTATTGAAAAAAGAAAGGAAATTGATCAACTCAGACATATTTAAACACAACGTACAATTATTGTCTCGTGGCATTAAATCACGAACATTTTTACACACATAGCAGAGGCATAAAACTAACCAATACGTTCCTCGATCCGCTCAGAATCTAGATATACAACGGAACCGATTAGTCGAAATAATTGCCCCTTCGAAAACTTCGATTACTTGAGAGAAAAACTGTAGGTATCCCGAATATTCTGTGTTCAATAGACGGATAATGACGGATAATTTTATCATTTGTCTAATTGGCTTTTGCGTCCCATCATTTATTCTAATCGCGTTTATTGTGTTATAGTCGCATTTTTCATTCAATAATAAATAATATTAATAATAATATAAATTCGACTATAATACGTAAATATATTTTAAAAACTTTTTACGTCGATTTTTTTCCCTTAAAACCTTGATTACTCGGAAATCTTAGTAAATTGAACACTTCAATAAGTCGAATATAATGCATTTTTACCTATCGAAGTTTTACTGTGTATGTAATTATATATGTGTATACATCAATTAACATTATAGACTGCAATAGTCTAAGATTTGAAAAATATTCAACTAACAATGATTAACACTAGGTACTAAGTTCAGTACAACCAATAATTATGAAAATAATAATATGTACCAAATAGATACAACTTTTCCTTGGGATACTTAGTGTCCGGTGAAATTCATTACCAAACTAAAATAGGATTGATACTGCTAACAGGTATGCCACTGTTATTGGTGGGAAGTTAGAAATGTAGGATACATAGTTATCCACAGGGGTTTATATTAAAAAAAAATAAAGAAAAAAATGATTTAATAGTTAAAATTAAGTAAATATTAGAAGTTAAAAATAAGTTAATATCAAGAATTTAAAACATGGAAACGAAATTAATTTACTTTTTATGCTTTTGCATTTTTCTTGAGAATTCCTCTTGGTCCATGGGAATAACAAAACTACTACTGCTTGGATGTCACATTATCGGTTAACGGGCTTGAAATGAAACATCTCGTGCTTGTGGGTGTCACACATCTGCACGAACCCACGGCCGCACATACAACATTTAAACGGCTGTTCACCAGTGTGTGCGCGTATGTGTAGGATTAGGTCATACCACTTCCGGCACGTTTTATCGCAGTACGGACACTGATATTTACGAGTGTCATTGACATGTGACCATGTGCGCGTCTTGCGCTCCTTTTGTCTTAACGAATTGTTGCATAGCATGCACGAGTACGGACGGGCATTGTAGTGCACCGCGCTGACATGCACATCGAGCTGAGAATTTTGCACGAACCATTTGTAGCATATATCACACATGAACCTTGTCGTGCTTATTCTGGTGCAAGACTAGCTTTTGTTTTGTGAAATACATGAAGTCATATTGCGTACAGTGCACCGTCTTCTTAACAGTGTGTGTCAACGAGTGATCAATTGCTTTTGTAAATGTTACCGCACACTTCACACAGGCATTGCGACTGATCCTCTGAAGATTGTCTCTCTTTCAGACGGTCATTAAACTCTCTAATGAACAAGATGATCCGGCAAAAGTCGCATTCAAACATTTTGTAGTTAGGATGCCATTTTCGAAAGTACTGTAATAAGTTGTGCGCGATCTTGAACTCAATCTTGCATACCTGAAACATTTTCTCTTAATCCTTATTCAAAATAATTGTCCAGTCATTTTCTTCGTCGACGAGAAAACGGCATAAACTCAAAGGAAGTCGGCCCTCGTCTTCGTCACCATCGCCGCACCGTTTTCATTATTGTCACCTACTTTTATTACCTCTATGTTCTTGGCCTGCTGTTTTTTTAAATATTTATTCCACTACTGCGAATTCGTATTTTTTACTCTTGGCCAACGCCATCGAAATGTCGAAATTGGTAATACCTTCAGGGGCGTATTTATTTCATCCACCAAGAGGGGGGGTCCAAATTCGAACTTAAATCATACTTATAAGTTATTAGTTATAAAAGTATATGTCTATAAACAACAGTGTTACTAAGATTATTAAGTAAGGCACATTTTCTGAAAGTAAATGCTATCTGGGTGATACTTTAGAGAGGTTATTTTTTTATATTCTCATTAATATTCGAGATAATGAGGAAACCTCGTCTTTAAGTTAAAACGATTAAAAGATTAAAAATAAAGTTGTCATTGCTAACCGTTTTTATTAATTTTTTTTTATTAACAAATTTGTATTATTTTAATCTTTTTTAAACAGTCGTTGTCATGGTAACACATATTATTATAATACCATATATTGTATAGTACTAAGCAACATTATCAAATGAATTCTGCTCAGAATCGTTTTTCGTTAGCGATGGTTTATCGTTGCGTAAGATATATATTAAATTTCCATCTGTATCCTACCTTCCCAACTTTCCACTTACAACAGTAGCTGCGCCCATATGCGAAGTATGTCCGTCCTTTTTTATTTTTATTTTTCATTAACCAAAGATCGAAGAGTCTTTGTTTTATTATACATTTATTCGCATGCGGTGCATTTCTGTAATTTGTAGTAAATATTGTTTTTGTTATTATTGTTTAGTTAGAACAGAGTTGAAATCTTGAATCAGTTTGATGCCCCGGTTTGCCAAATCATTCACTACCATATAACTTTCAACTTTTTCACGAGCACTAATAAAAACTTTATCTTTTTCCCACAAACTAGGAACTTTTTGTATAAAATTAATTTTTGTACCATACGATAAAAAAAACTGTGACTATTTTTAGTGATAAAATCTGATAAATTTTTATTTAGAATGTGTTTTTTACCGACGTTAATGCGACTAGGAGGGTTATCGCTACCATTATTTTCTAGAACGATCACAACTATTCTATTTTCTTCGACTAATACACATGAATCAAATAAGGCTAAACCTGACAGCATTTAACACAAGTACTATAAGTGGCCTCACAATTTCTTGTAGCTCTTCTCAGAAACTTTACGATTGATAGATTGATATTCGAAAATGTATATTTTTAAAAAATATATAATTTTCGCCATCCAACGCAATGGTAGGCTCAAAGTGTGCGTATTTTTATTGTTTTTTCAGTTGTTTTCCTCAAAATTACTAATGATAAATTCAACGGTTCTTTGTAATAATAGTGTGCATGGTAAATATTCAACAGACATTTAATAAATGCGATGATATCGATGCGTACTACCATAAGAAAATTAGACATTTTTTAATTATGTAGTGCACTTTGATAACTACTTTGAAACACTTTGATTAGTACTCGTGGAAAAGCTGAAAGTTGAAAAACAGTGAATTTTGTGGCAGAACGGTGCTTGAAACTGATTTAAGATTTCCACCCTGTTCTGACTAAATAATAACAAAAACAATATTTACTCCAGATTACAGAAATGCACCGTAAGGAAATACCGCAAGTGAATAAATATATAATAAAACAAAAACTTTTCGATCTTTGGGCTAATGAAAAATAAAAATAAAAAGTACTCTATTCTTTTTCTTTTGTTTATTTTTACTTTTTTTTGTATTTTATGTATTACAAGTTTTTTGATAAAATTTATTAAGATAATATTGTAATTTTTTGGACAAATAAAAAACGTTTTCAATGCTGGTTCTACCTGATAATTTACCAACATTATGTAATCATAGTAAATTTATAAATAAATAAAAAAGACGTCCTAGCAGTCACTGTTATAGTTAATTTAATGTATATCTGTAACGATAAACCATTGCTAACAAAAATAACGAATCTGGGAGCAGTTCAGTTGACAGTGATGCTTTGTCAACAATATATAATGTGTCATACTATGGTAAAATAATTAAATAGGTATTATATATTTTCTTTAATAATTTTTTGTTTAATATTGTACTCGTTTTTCCTGCATTTTTCCCGGTTTTTCACTTTTGTTATCAAAACTCTTGGGAAAATCAAAAAATTACATCTCTAAAATACCTCCCCAGTCAGAATTCTTTTTAGAAAAAGTGATATTGTAAATCGAAATAAAATTACTGGTAAAAATTTTGTCTACAGAAAAAAAATCGTAATATTTTACTGATGCATTTTGTACATTTTCCTTTTTTTTCTCCGGTTTTCACGATTTATTGGGAAAACTCCTGAGAAAATCAAATTATTACCTCCTCAAGTCACCATGGAGATGAAATTTCCTTTCAGAAAATAAGTTACACTTGATACATCGGAGCAAGATTTCTAGTAGAAAAGTTTGCACAACAAATCGAGAGGTATTTTTCGATTAAAATAGTCCTAGCGAGCCATGGTTTGGGTCTCTAGGTACACCAAAAATGCATTTGTTTTTTCCTTATTTAGGTAAAAAGAGGGAAAAAATGCAAACATTTTTTTTGAAAAACGGATTAAATTTCAAATCTCTACGAATATTTTTAACTGAATTACAACAATTAACAAACTTGAAAAATAATAAAAGCATTATTTTTGTGAATTTCCCATTTTTCTTACGTTCTATCGTAGTTTTTCTCAGATATTATGAAAACTGCACATCGAAAAATTACGTCCCAAAAGTACTATCTGGAGAACATTTTCTTTCAGATATGTTGCCACGCGTAAATAGCTGAGCAAGATTTTGGTGGAATTTTCGTACACAGTATAGAAAAATAAAAAAAAAAAATGAAATAAACATCTTAGTAAAACCAATGCATTCTTCGCTACACTCAGAATCTAAAATTTATGTATAAAGATAAAAAATAAAGAAATTAATAAATGTGTCACTTGGATTATTATGATAAGTGTATTATACGACCGGTTTTGAATTAAAAATTCATCATCAGGTATATCACAGTAAAAATGTTAAACGGGACTGAATATATTAAATTAAATAAAGTAATACATAGAAAAAAAAAATTATACAAATTGATCGTTTATTAAATAATTTGTATGAAGTAAATTGTGCCATGCAAAAAAAGTGGACATGGCCTTAAACGAGGCACACCGCCTAGTTACGGGATGTCTAAGACCCACACCTATGTCTCTGGTATAAGTTCTAGCTGGTATAGCACCCACCCCTCCGATACAAGGAGAAGCGTGGCCAGCGATGCCCAAAAACAGTCTAGATAAACGACATAAAACACCTACTCTAGGGATACCAAGTAACATCAAACAGATTTAATTCTAGAAAAAATTGTTTAAAATCAACTTCAGAGCTCACAAAAACTCTTGATTATGAGCGACTTCAAAGATGGATATAATCAAACGGAACTAATAACTTCGAAATAAGACTAATGGGAAAACTCCTACGTGGATACTACAACGAATGGAACAAATGGAAAACACTAAACAGATTAAAAGTAAGAGTTGTTCGAACAAAAAAAAAGCATTTATATAAAGCCTGGACACGATAAGAGAAATAATTTTTTATCATCATAGTTGTTGTAGGTAAGCTTGTTAATAGTGATAGTTTTGATTTGGTGTTGGAAAGACCATATGAAAACATTGTCCTTATAAACCGTGAAATCACTGTCACCAAACATACACCTCCTGTGGTCTTCGAACGTCATGGTTTTTAACTACATGGCCCTGGATGCCTTTTGCTTTGATTTTTTTTTTTATCGTCAATCTTATAAGCATAAGATTTTGCACACAGCGCACAAAACTACGTTATCGTTTTCCCATCGGATTTTTCGGAAAACAAGCCGGGTATTTTCTTCCTTTCTGCAACGTAGCACAGGTAATCTTTCGATAGGTTGGCCGTGTCCGTATATTCCAACAGTCAAGGTTTACTCAGCAGATCTATGTAAAAATCTTTAGTTTTGTATTTAATACAACAACGAATCTAGAACCAAAAAATAATAATAATATAACCACAGTCAAGTTTTAATAATAATAATATAATAATAAAGTAAAAACAAAATTATTAAAATGGTTAATACTCGTAAATAAATATTTAAATAAAAAAAGAACTGGGGACAGGTGTGGCCACTGTTGTAGGTGATAAGTTGAGAAGGTAGAATACATAAGGTTATTTCGTTTATATCTGTAAGCAACGAAAAACCATGGCTTGACGAAAGACGATTCCGATCACAGTTCGGTAATACATAATTTGAAGTGCCGTCATTTTTTTTGCGATTTTCGTTTAAATTTGACTTCAAAACTCAATTTGACTTCAATGTGTTTAACATTTTTATCACTCTAGGTAAATACAGTATAAGTATTATAACCAAGTTTCAAGTCTCTACGTGTATTTATAATCGAATTACAGCAAAAAGCTCAAAAGTTTTATCGATGATACCATAAGAAATTAAATCAAAAAGGCAACAAAAAAGGTGTCTTGTGATTTTCCGATTAAATTATTTTTTCTGGTAAAAAACATCAT